TCTAGCTTTTATGTTTTTTGGGGGGTTGTTTCGAGTTTCTCTCCTCTACATTCGATACTACATACACTCACCTCTATGGAAATCAAAAGATCTGCCATGAACAATTCAACTTGGTACTTTCTCCAAAAGCTCCATTTCGCCCATTTCTTTTCAGTTGTCATGATCTTTCCAATAGAAGAAAAATAAAAATGATTATCAATAAGAATTTATTTCTCTTTTTTCCTCATTTCCTTGTTTGGGCCATGATTGAGATTAGGATTTTTGATTGATTTTTTCGAAAGGAACAAACCCATATTTTTCATTTCCCATTTATCAATCTCAATTTACTGCACGATGAGGCTTTTTATGGAAAAGATGGTGGGAATCTGGCACACATATGAACCTCTTCCCTACATAATTATCGTCTTCCATGTGATATAATCATGTACTATTAGTACATATATACTTAACCTCTTTATATATAGATATATATATATATAATTTTATAATTTAATCAGATACTTATTTTAAATAATATATGAATAGTTAAATTATAATCGAATTTGAGTTTAGGTACTCAAAATTAATTAATGGAGATCTTACTTGTTACTATTTGTATATCTAGTCTCTTTTCTTTGAAAAAATGAAAATGAAAAGTCAAGGCCAATGAATGTTAGTATTATAGAAGGGAAAGATTAAGAGGGGATTAAAAAAGGAATACTGATGTGTAGATGATGCCAGGCATTAGTCTAATAATACAACCACCCTAAAGGCATGTCTTAGCTGGGAGGTAGGAGGCATGCTTTGTAGGCAAGGGATCTTTGGATCTCAACTTGCATCCCTTAATTATTCTTTTTTCAGAACTCTAATCCCTTTCTCTCAATTTCACCACACCAATTTGAAATTCCCTTTTTTTATTACTATTGATGAATTAAGAATATTAAAATATACATATATATATATATATATATATAAAGCCTATAATTTGACAAGAATTTTTATCAATCATGAAGGAAATCCCACCAAATATGTCCAAATTTAAGAATTAATTCTCATATTAACTAAATATATATTTAGCTCCTAGCTAAAACCTACAATCACCTTGCTTGACTCTTTCTTTTTGTATTTTGCCAAAAATAAAATAAACAATGAACATTGGCATTGTTTTTTGAATTCTAAAAAGTAATTGATCGAGTTGAGTATACAATTTAGAAGTAGTATATGTAGACCAATTGCCTGGCAGCCACTAAGAAATTCTGAATTCCTTAACGCATAATCCCATATGGGATTGTCCAGAAACCTATTCAATCATTCTTATTATTTAAATGGAATCAATAAACAACTCATTCCTCACATTTTTACCGTTTAACTCTTATTCTTGCAGGATTTAAACTGTTAAAAAACTCCTCGTGAAGAGAAGAGTTATTCGCAGGATGTTAATGGAAGAAGAAAAATATTGGAAAAAAAAA